AGTGTACTTTATTGAGTTCAAAGCATAAAGTCTATGAACAGGTTATTTTAGTTTCATAATTGCATTAAGCGTTCTTCTTTAATAAATTTTGACATCATGCTCTTGGGGTTTGCATGCTTAAGAAGTGCATGGAGTAACCTTAGAATTTCTCTATGTGGTTTGAACTCAGGCAGGCCATGGTTGGGATGTGAAGAGTGTTGACTGGCACCCTACAAAATCTCTACTAGTTTCAGGTGTCTGCAACAATTCTCTTCTGAGTTTATATTAATATCTTTTTGAAAGTTAAGTCTTTGACTATTTATTTCATATAATTGGTTTGTACTTAGGTGGGAAAGACAATCTTGTCAAACTTTGGGATGCTAAGTCAGGGCGAGAACTCTGTTCATTGTAAGTAGAGAAATATGGCACTTAAACCTATAAGTTAGTTTTATTAGTTGAAAATCTTTATAGATGTTATGCATGTTTTTGCAGTCATGGCCACAAAAATATGGTGCTCTCTGTTAAATGGAACCAAAATGGTAACTGGGTGCTAACGGCTTCCAAGGATCAAATCATTAAGGTTGGTGGCCAATTTTTTGCTCCTCAGCTATCACATGAGTTGATATGGGATTTTTTTTCCTCGGAAATTTATAATTTTCCTCCCATGGCTGATGATATTGTTGCACCACATGCTCTCAGGTTTATGACATAAGGGCTATGAAGGAACTTGAATCTTTTCGTGGCCATCGAAAGGACGTGACTGGTTAGTGAAGTTTCCTCTCATATCACCTAAGCCTACTTTATCTTTTCTTATAATTAGTAGGTGCCACGTTCAATGTGTCTGCAAAACTTCTATTCCAAAGCCCCAGTTGTATTATTAGTTTAGTAGAAAATTTCTGTCTGCAAAACTTCCTCCTTCTGTCTTTATTATGCTCATGCCTAGCCATTGGTGGGCCAAAGCTATCGCACTCATTATATTTGTTAAGGTTTTGTATGAGTATAATGCTTATGGTTACCATTCTTTGAAATTTTTATTAGCTCTGGCTTGGCATCCGTTTCATGAAGAATATTTTGTCAGTGGGAGTTTTGATGGATCCATTTACCATTGGCTTGTTGGGTAAATTCTATTCCTTAAATCTAGTACCCTTCTATGGGTTTATTCTTCTTTGGGTCAGCATTATAGAATAGTTTACACTCATGTCTTTCATTCTTTACAGTTTACCCATCAGAAACGGGGAAAAAAGAGAAGAAGAAAGTTTTTTTCAGTTTCTTGCCTGATTTAATTCTTAATACACAAGCGAATATTCATGAACCTATTATTTTTGCCTTGTCTTTGGTGCAATATGTAATGTATTTTAAAGAAGGAAATGAACTTTGTACAAAGTAAGGAAACCCTCATAAAATGATGGTGCAACCATGTGAATCTAATTACCGATATGCTGATTGCAAAACTGTATTGCATTCTCCATTGCCTTTTGGATGACTGGAGAAAAATGACTGATGCTCATAGCAAGTTTTCAGTATTGTTAGTCCTTTTTTTTGTGTGTGGAAGTTTTGATAGTTCTTGTATCTGAATTAAATTTATTTTGATGCACAGGCATGATACTCCCCAGGTTGAAATTCCTAATGCACATGATAACAGTGTGTGGGATCTTGCATGGCATCCTATTGGTTATCTTCTCTGCAGGTATGTTTTACTGCTCTTCATAGTGTATTATCCCTTTCATTATTAAGACCTACCCCGTTTTGAACAGTTTTGTTGTACATGTGAAGATCGCCAAAAACTGGTGGAATGCTCTCTAAACAATTCACTTTAAGAAGAG